TCTAAGGCCATCCTTGAGGAAACGTTTCTTTTCTTGAGTAAGCAGGGACTTCCATAAGCCACAAAAAGTCGTGGAAATTTCTTGGCAGAAATCTTGTACCGATGAGTGAGTTAAATACAGCTGCTTTTGCCTGCAGTGTTCAATATTGTCTTCAATGATTAAAAAGGCTGACTCCAGTGGGAGCAGAGCCCACGCTGCAGAGATGATTATGTTTTGAAGCGTTTTCTGTAGGAGAAATGGGGTCGGGTGGGGTGGGGGGAAGGAACAAGAGAGGTGGGAGCTTCCGCAATGAGCTGCCAGCCTCAGGATGACCGACACCCTTCACGGCTTTGGTTTGCTTCTTTTCTTTTGTCTAGACAGGATCTCACTCCGTAGTCCAGGATGGCCCCTGGCTTGTGATCATCTCACTGCCTCAGTCTCCCAAGTAGAGAGCTGACAGGTGTGACAGATGTGGCTCAGGCATCGTAATTAAAAAAAACTCAAGTGTCCACTGGGTTTTCATTATGTCTGTAATGTCCATCTGTAATTACCTCCCCTTCAGGAAAGAATGTTTAACCCCAGGTGGGTGCGGTGGGTCAGGCCTGTAATCCCAGCTGCTCAGAAGGCTGAGGCAGGAAGTTCACAGGTTCTAGGTCAGCCTGAATTACACAAGGAGACCTTGTCTCTAAATAAGTAGGTAAACGACGTCAAAAAGAATGTTAAGTATAGGCATGTCTCTTAGTGGTGTGGGAAACGAGCCAGCAGAAGCATGAGCCTATGCTGAGGGTGGGGGTGGGGGATGGGGGTGGGTGGGGATGGAATGGAGGCAAATGTTAGGACAAAGGTGACCCAGGAAAGGCCTGAAGCAGCACGTTTTATAGTTGCAGCCACCATGGGCTTGCAGAACACGTGGAAATGACTCCCGGCTTGGAAGAGGAGCCCCAGGATTTAGACTGTGTCTACTTCACACAAGCCAAACAGGACAAATAAGGAATGGAGGGAAGGTTATGATGGCATGAATTTTAAAGGAGGGATTGGCTTAAAATGATTTAACTCAATCCTGCCCGTGTGATTGGGATTTGGGGGAATCCCTTCCTGGTTGCCAGAGGACACTGGGAAAATCGGAGCCCTTTCTTGGGGTTCTTAGTCTTGTTAATAAAAGAAGTTAAGAACAGACTTTAGCAGAAACTCAAGGCCAATTCATTGGAGTTTAGAAGCAAAGCACTCATGGCAGGCAAAGTGAATCCCAGCAGCTGCCCTGAGGAAGAGAATGAGAAGAGAAGGAAGACATGGAGGGCAGACACGGGGCAGACACGGGGCAGACAGCAGCCAAATGATGCAAGAGGAGCTTCAAAGAAAGAGTAAGCTCAAAGAAAAAAACTGACAGCTTCTGGCCAGCACCTGAAAGCAAGACCCAGAAAAAAAAGAAAAAGGAAGAGTTACCCCTTCCAGAAAGGTGGTCAGACCCAGGCAAAAGTCTCATGGCCGCTCAGCTTGTAGGGGGTTGCTGGGGAGTGGGGGAGGCGGGAATTCTGGGAAGGAAACCTGTAATATCTCTTTAAGGAAATAATTCTCCCACCTGTCTCTTCAGTGTGGCAGCAGGTGAGCCCACCTTCCCGGGGTGGTCCTGAGGGCAGGTGATTGAACTGGCCTAACTGGAATATCAGGTCCACTCTACCCAGAGATTCGAGTCTCCTGACCAGGAGTTTTCCCTTAATGGGCCTTTACTGCTTCTCTGATGCTTGGAACAAGAACTACGGAAGTATGAACGGGTTTCTAATTGGAGGAAAGAAGGAAAGAGAAGGAAGCCAAGGACGACGGGGGCGGGGGAAGAACTGCTTGGGTCTGTTGCAGTGCCATCCAGGGGTCCCATCTGCTCAGAACATATCCGAGGGAGGTAGCTGAGTCCATGTCTACCAGAAGTGGCATTAAATGATGCGGTAGGTGAGTAGAAGTCAGAAACAGAACACACTTCGGGTGTCTAGAACATGAATGGGGGAGTCAGAGGGATCCCCAGACTGTGAAATGCTAAGTTCCCTGGCTAAGGTGCCCCTAATTGGTTGGCAACCGTCTTTGGATTCTCGAAGACATTTTTTACTTTTAGGTAGCTTTTCCTGGGACATGTGAACAAATAGCTCCTCATCCCAGATAGGGCACCAACGACAGACCAAAGTAAGCCTTCTTCCCAAGTATAACTGGGTGAAGTCTATTTGACTTACTTAGAAGAGCCTGGGTAAAGGGTTACAAAGAGAGTATGTGTGTTCCCATAACAATTCTTTATGGAAAACTCCAACTCCAGCATAGTGCCAGGTTCCTAAAGGCAGCCCAGACAGAGGAGGGGTGACTGGAATCTTGGGTGTGAGTCGAATGACCTTGTTCTAGGAGGGCATGTTAACAGACCTGGTATCATGAGGGCCTCATGAAGATAATCACAGGTTCTCTGATTTCAAAAATGTAGTAGTCGAGCCAGGTCCAGAGGACAGCATTCCACACCACATATTGCCCAATATATTAACTACCTATGCCTGGTTGTATTTTAAAAGAAGACACAGCCAGTAGATAATACTTAACCCAAAGGAATGACCAGGGAGAGCTAATGGCTACTCCATTTAGTGTGCATTTGGGACTTTTGCTCCAACCATTGAAAAATATTTGCATCCTCATAATCACCCACGAAGACAGACGCGTCAGTAAGCCATCCTAAACCTGCTGCAGAAGGGAAGGTCCTGGTTCACATCTAGACGGAAAAGTGTGTTTCTGAAAGGAAAGGGCAAGTTTCAAATCACAAACCCTCACCTTCTTCAGACCTCTTCACCCTCTCCAACCCGCTAATTGAAACCTGTGGCGGACAGGTAGCTAAGTCCGAGTTGTGTGCGCCAGGGCTCTCAGATTACATGCTTTGGAACCTCTGTTCAGCCCCGTTGATGGAAATGCAAATACAGACCCAGATCTTCTGATTTTTCCAGAGAAACTGGACATTCACATGTGAAGTCTGATATTTTAATGTTGATGCATTTGAAAATGAAAATAAACAAACCTTATATGATTTGAGCACGCATGCGCAGCCGAGAGTGGGACGCTTCTGCTTTCCCCCACGTGCTTGGGTCCCTCTGGGTTGTTTCCAGAAAGAGCACAGAGCCGATGTCCCCGATTTCCGCACTCTAGCCTCCCCCTTGCTCTGCACCAGGCTCCTACTTGCTCTCAAGAGCAGCCACTCAGCTTTGTATCAGTTTCTCTCTACTGACTCAGTTTTACTTCTTGGAGGTAGAAATTTGGAAAGGAAGTTGTGGCAGGGAAACTTGGTTTCTTTTTTTTTCTTTTTTTTTTTTTTTTTAAAGATGTATTTATTATGTATACAGCATTCTGTCTGCATATACACCTGCAGGCCAGAAGAGGGAGCCAGATCTCATTACAGATGGTTGTGAGGCACCATGTGGGTGCTGGGAATTGAACTCAGGACCTCTGGAAGAGCAGTCAGTGCTCTTAACCTCTGAGCCATCTCTCCAGCCCAAATGTCGGGCTTTTTTTTTTTTTTTTAAATCGTGTACCACTTTTTTTTTTTAAGGTTTATTTATTTATTATGTATACAGTGTTCTGCCTGCATGTGTCCTTTCAAGCCAGAAGAGGGCACCAGATCCCATTACAGATGGTTGTGAGCCACCATGTGGTCGCTGGGAATTGAACTCAGGACCTCTGGAAGAACAGTCAGTGCTCTTAACCACTGAGCCATCTCTCCGGTTTCTTTTTTGTGGTTGTCTGTCTGTCTGGTTTTCCATTCAGCGCTGGGCTGAGCTATATTCTGATGGGAGTGGGGACTTGGGTAAGGAGCCAACAGGGATGGAAGGTTTCATGCCCAGGAACTGCATAGGAAGATGAGCAAGGGCTGAGCCCACTGTAGTGACATAGAGAGTAATAATCATCTACCAAGACAACGCCATGCACACGCCAGGCCTTGACTGCATTTTAGTGGCGCTAAAATTTAGGAAGGCGCTAGACCTTCCTGTGTTCTCTTGACTCTGCAGACAACTTCACTGTGCCCAGAGCAAAAAAGACAAAAAGCCAAGAGTAACATAAAAGACAACTGGGTTTGCTCTTAAAGAAACAAATAAGTCATAAGAATAGGACACATAGAAAAGAAAGGAATTTTATTTTTATTGTTCCAAATTGATATCGTAACTCTTGGCAGATAGGATTCCATTTACTGACGGTACATAATTTTGTGAAAATTACGTACTATACTACGAAAATATGCGTAGTGCAAATGGGCCTTTCTCTACATTTGGTGATGAAAGTGCTTTGAATGTGTTGCTTTGATAACTCAGACACACTATTTTTTAAATTAAAAAAAAGTATCTATTTGTTGGGGGGGGGGTGGGGGCAGTCACAGTAAGCAGAGGCCAACTCTGGAGTTGGTTTGCTCCTTCCACAACATTGATCCAGAGGATCAAATTAAGGTCATTAGGTTTGCTGCTGGCAGGTGCCTTCACCCACTGAGCCACCTCACTGACCCAAGACACACCGTTTCTTAGCTCCCGCTGTGCACAAGGTGCCAGGCATCCTCGGGAGAGGAAGAGCAAACAGTGGCAGGCATCTCTCCGGAGCAGCTCACAGCCATAGATTTCCAAGGGGGACGAAGCTCCCCACAAAGCCCATGTCAAATCTCAAACAGTTCCAAGCAATGAAGAAACTCCACACCAGACACTCTGCCCAGAAACATCGCTTCACGTTCGTTCATGTGAACCTAATTCAAAACACATTTACTTTACTGCAGCCCCTTGGTTTTTGTTTCTCTAAAGAAAAGTGCAAAATTGCACTTTCTCGGGAGCTCCTTTAAAATCTTAAACAGTAAGTGGTGCTAATATTACTCTTGAGCCAATCTTGAGTCGAGCTGGAGGTTTCAATTACTGGATACAGTGTTTTTCTGTTTCAGCCTCGATCCTTTTCCAATCTCCATATCGCGTTTTCTCGTTATACCATCAGGAATTTCATGTGCGTTTGTGAAGAACGCTGTCATGGCTCTCTCCCCGCTTTCTCCCCACCTAGACTAAAGCTGGGGAGTCACACCTGTCTTTCTATTCTGGAGGCTGACAAGAATTATCAGTAAAACCACACAGGCAATAAAATAAAATAAAATAAACTGGAGCAGTCTGCTGGTTCTGTCAACAGTAAGAAGAATGAGTTCCAGACGCTGCCGAAATAAAACAGGTTTGACTAGTGTTATCATTCATTTTATTTTGATGCTTCTCCGGCAGCATCAAGAGAAGCCACTGAGGACCAGAGAACAGTGAAGACCCCGAGGACATCAGTTAATACTGAAGGTACTTATTCTGAAAATACTTTTTTAGTCAAAGTCACGGTTATGTGGCATGTGACCAAAAGATGGCCTTGAATCCTCACGTGCTCATTCATTCCCCACTGAAAATCCACAGTGTGGTTCACCCCTTGTGTCTTCTGCGGCAGCTACGACCCCGGTGCCATGGAGCAGTGTGCACTTGGACCCTGGGACATTTATGGGAGTCGGATCCTGTTTTCCAGACAGGAATAAAATCTGTGTGGTTTTTAATTTATTTTTAAGTAGATCCTGACCCGGTATACAAAATTGAGAACAGGTGACCAATGTTTCCCAAAGAATGATAAAAATTCAGGGCATTTTAAAGAAGAAATACCTTCAGGGAAAGTTAACTGAAAATCCCAAGCTGGATATGCTTAAAATCACCTGGATAAGGGCAGGACTGGAGCTCAGAGATGGAGTGCATTTTAGCGTGGGTAATGCTCTGGGTTTTGTTTTCAGGACTAACAAATAATAAAATGGAATTATAAAATTAATAAAATGAAATTGAGCTTTAAAACCATGTGGTTCCCATCCATTCAACACTGTTTAGCCTTGATATCGATGCTTCAGACTTTTTATTCCCATCCTCCCGGTCGGTTCTAAACGTGAGGTGGACAGCCCTGGCCATCGGGTAAAGGCATCTGCCACCAAGACTGACAACTTGAGTTACATTCCTGGGACTTACATGGTAGGAGGTGAGAACTGACTCTGACAAGTTGCTCTCCGACCTCCACATGTGCATATAAATAATAACAAAAACAAAATAACCTGAAGCTATTGTAGTACTATTAGGTAGCCAATAAAAATATCTTAGAGTTTTGAGTGTCGTGGAAGGATAGAAAAACAAAAAGAGCTTAATTGGCCCAACTGACTTTTCTTGATTACTTACATTTTTTAAAAAAGAGACTAATCAGTGTTGAATATATGTAGCCCACTGAAATGGGTCAAGGCCTCAATAAACTTAAATCTCTTCTCAAGTAACTTTTCAGAAGTCTGTATGAGTTTGTAATAAATTTACAGTAGAAAATTATTCTGGTGGTAGTCAGTGTCTAGCAATGTTTTTACAGATTAAAAAAAAACAACAACATATCTGAGCCGGAGACTGAAACCAATCAAACACCTCCATGAGTAGCCCGCCCCCGCCCCGCCCCGCCCCGCCCCGCCCCGCCCCGCCCCCAGGAGCTTGGAAGATGTGGATTAGAAAAGACGGTCATCTATTCACAGGCACACAAAGTGAACTTAAATGGCTGTGTCGCAGAAAAGAGTGCTGCTGGAAAGCCAGCAGCAGGAGAGGGCAGATGCTGGAAACCCGCTTCCACCCGCTTCCATCCCAGTACTCTGATGACACTTGAAGGAAGAACTTAAACCTGAGGGATGACGCAATCGCATGCATGCCTTCAGGGGAAAGACTCTGGTTGGGAGTCTGATGTGTGTAATTACTAGCTGGTTTACACCCAAGGCAGCTGTGTGAGCTGCAGCTCTTCCTACGTACCGAGCTTTCAGCGCATTGGTTATAACAGTGGATTTCTCTCCGTTGTTGTATCAATAAAGATGATTTAATTTTTCTTAATCCAAGATAACATTTGACATGCATTCATTCATTTTATTAATTTTTTTTTTTTTAACCTTGGAGCTGAGGACCGAACCCAGGGCCTTGCACTTGCTAGGCAAGCATTCTACCACTGAGCTAAAGCCCCAACCCCTCATTCATTTTATTAATCCATGCTACCTATCTTACCCAGTGTATGCCGGACAAGGATTCTACTTGCACCCGAGTCCAACGTCTGTACTTTAAGTCAGTTAAATCACATTTTGCCAATTAAAAGTTTATGACGTTTGTATGTTTTTTTTCAATATGGGGATTAAACCCAGGACCTGAAGCAAGCTAGGTAAAAACTACCATTGAGATATATCTCCTATTCTGATTTAAAATAACTTTAAAAACCCTATTATTTGGTAAATTATCTCAATTAAAAATGTTGTTAGTTATTATTGTAAACATGTGTCTTTGGCAGTGTCTTTAAAAGCCAACCAGCGTCAGTGGCCTGGCTTTGCTACCCTGGGCTCCCATCCACATGGCTCGGGACCAACGGAGATTCAGAGAGGAAAGCCTTTGCAAACATGCTGACTGCATTGTGCAAGATGAAAAGACAAAGCTGCATACAGAGAAACTTCTGAGAACACTTCCAGGTAACTGAGCATTTTGAACAGGCTAGGGGGAATGCAAGCTTGGGACCAGGCTGCAAAGATGAGCTTTCACTGTAGGTCCCAGCATTCCGGTGCGAGGGCAGGACAGTGATGAAGGACACCTGCTCAGGAACGCATCTCTGGGTCCTCTCTGCGGAGATAAAATGCCAATCTCTTTTGGCTGGTCTCAGATGAGGTGTTTTGGAGAAGAAGGCATACAAACATCTATTCCTAGTGAGCGCAGACCGCCCAGAGAAAGGCTGTGAGACACCTCTGTAGACCATAAGTATCACCAAAAATGAGCCAGCATCTCTTAAAAGGAGTGAACATCCTCTCGCAGACAGCCAGTGTTGCTTTCTCTAAATGCTAGTGGCTTGAGCTGTGCTTCTTTTTCTATGTGCTTTTTCTCTAGGACATGCTTGTTCTGTGACAGGTATCACACCGTCACAGAACAAACACCAAGTCTCTACCCACTGGACTGTGGAGCCCTGGGCCAGAGCTCAGCAAGGCAGAATGGCAGCCTAGCCACAAGAACCCACTGTGGCCAGCTTGTTTTTCTTCGGAACCTTTTCAAAAGCATGCTGGGAATTCTCCCTCACTGCAGTTTCGTTTATCTAAGAGCATCGTGGCATTTTTCAGATTACCGAGAAGTCTATTGTCATGTGATGGTTGACACAGTGGATAAGGAGATCAGGACCGATTGCTCCTGCAGACTGTTTCCTGGTATGGATGATAAGCATTAGTAGATAAAAATGCAACCAACTGGGACCCGGCAGGAACTGGAAGAGTGCTTCTAATACAAAGTCTGGTGTAAATTCAGCCCTTAAGAAAAATCAGAGAAAATGTAAGAGTCTGAGAAAAATGTAAAACCTCGAAATTGAGTGTTACTTAGTTACCTGGGGATGTAGCTGAGTGGTAGAGCATTTGCCTAGCCGTGTAAGGTCCTGGGCTCCATCCCTAGCACTGTTTTTTAAAAAAATGGATGATTGAAATGGTGGATGTAGATATAAGCAAATCTGTGTGTGTACAGATGTAGTTTTTTCTTTCTTACTAGGATCAAGTAACTTTTTTCTTCTCTAAAAAATTAGTTTTATTAACTCTTTGCAAATTTCATTAAAAGTATTAGGATTATAGTCACTTGCGCTTCCCCAACTCCTCCCAGATACACCCCTGTTTACTTACCCATCCAACTTTGTGGTCACCTGCTACTTTTTCTCCCCTCTGAAAACCAGCTATGTCTGATTTGTGCTGCCCAAGTACTCTTGGGTCTGAGGCCATCCTCTAGAGCATGGTCAGCCTACCAGGGACCACACACTTACAGAAAACCGACTTCCCTTCCCCCAGCATCTGTCCATTGCCAATGGCTCTTCAAAGCCCACCTCTCCTCTCAACACTGGGGTTTGGACTGGCTTGAGCTTGCACGGCCTTGCGCACGCTGTCACCACCCCTGTGAGTTCGTACGCACAGACTTCCCTCCTGTGTCTGGAAAGCGCTATTTCCCTCTGGTCTAGACATCCACACCACCTCTGGCTTTTACAGTCTTTACACCCCCCTATTCCACAGTGATAGCTGAGCCTTGGGAGAAGGGGGTGTGAGACAGGTGTCCCATTTGAGGCTGAGCCTCTCTGCACCTTGACCAGTTGTTAATCATCATCTACTGCAAAAAGAAGCTTCTCAGACAAGGGGTGAGAGGCTCACTAATCTGCCGCTGGGACCAGCACACATTCACATCTAAAGGAGCCGGTAACAATCAGCACCATGATACAGAACAATCACACAGAGGTCTTTTATGTACCAACTCAGCTTCTAATTTTGAGGCAAAATTTAGAATTTATAAATCCTGGTAGGATAACACATCTACAGCAGTGACAAAAGTAAAAACACTAGAACTCACATATTTATGACTAAGTGACCACCACAAGCAGACTCATTTTCTTATGTATAAGTACATGCCTTATATATAAAAACAAATATTTACCTAGTCAGGCAAATAGACATACACCTTGGCTCCAAATGGCAGGTTTTTAATCTTAATGGTATTAATTCAAAATAGTAGAACTGTCAAAGGAACGTCACTGTTCATTTTCTATGGTGATAGTCCATACATAGTGTGTATTGCATGAAACAGCACTTATTGGCCACATTGCCTATGTTGAACTTACACATGCTTAACTCTGCAATCTTATAATAATACACAGAGTTTGGACACACAGCTCCATGTGTTTCTAGTCACAGATATACAGGGAATGAGATCTTTTTAAATAGTTGCTTATAAAGTGGGAATTTTAAAGACTTAAATGTATATTAAATCAACCTTGACTCTGGCAAGACAGTTTTCGAACAGGTCTTGTTTTCTGCGCAACTAAATCAGCAGAAAACAAGCAATTGTCTTACTAATATATAAAATCATGATAAGAGGCAGAGGAAAGTGGAGCTCTGTAAGTTCAAGGCCAGCCTGGTCTACATACGGAGTTCTTGGCCAGCCAGAGCTATACAATGAGATCCTGACTCTCCGCCACCTCCCCACCTCCCAGAAAAACCCTGTGTTGTCCTAGATTCAAATCATTCCACCAGGAAAGGAATTCAGAATCAACCTGTCAACTCATTAGTTAATATTCTAACTGGCTGAGGTTTTTTTTTTTTCTTTCAGTCCAAATTCTACAGTGTAAAAGTAAATTGTTACATTTTAGCTAGATTTTCAAAGAAAGAGAGAAAAACCAGCAACACATACTAATATAGTACAGAATTTGTGCCCTAATATCTACATCCATCCATCCATGGACACACACACATAGACCCCAAATCGGCCACGTCTAGAAGAGAAATTTTAGTTTGCAATAAGCTCAACAAAGAAATTCAAAACTGAAGCACCCAGAGGTTTGCCATGCATTGTTTTCAGGACCTCTAGGGGGAAGATAAGACATGCCCCATGCTACCTTAGAGACTAATATAAGTTTACAGAAGACTAGCCAGATAGGGTTCTCCGTAGGGGGACCAAGATAGTACACACTTAATATTTTCATGGTCATATGAATGACCACACAGGTCTCAATACCATTGCTTCTCTGACTCAATCAGTTCAATGGAGCCCCAAAGAGCAGCACGTTTCAACTTTCCCTGTCACTCAGCAGATGCCCCAAATTCCAACAGAACTCCAAATTTGTTCACAAGAGCTTCCAAGTGGATAAGGCTTGTCATACAAATGGTGCAACAGCCCAAATAGTTCAACAAACCAAAACAGTTCGGAAAAACTCTGAAAGACACTCAATCACCAGATGGCAGGCCCCCGAAATGGTTCCAACAGTTGAAAGGAGCCTCTAGGCCAACGTAATAGAAAAGCCCAAGGTCCAGTGATTGGGGAAATTGTATAAGAGTCAGACTGTCATCAAGTCAAAAACAAAGGCCAGCTACTCACTTCTCTGCCTCACCAAACAGTGGTAAACAGCAGTTGATGGAGGCTGAAGGGGAAGATGTGCTTGGAAGGAAGTGATTCTGTCAGCTCCATGGAACTGTTTAGTCTGTCCTCTCCATGCAGGGCCAACTTGAAAAATGTTTGTCTGATACCCAAAATGTGTGTGTGTGTTTTTTTTTTTTTTAAATTGGCTGGCTTGCCAAAATTGTTGCTGGAGTTGTTAAAATCAGTGCCTAGGCCCTGGCAGCTGCTCTAACGAGTTAGGGTAGGCTACTAACCCCCTAATTAATGAAATCAGTAATAGTGCAAAGCAGTAAAATGTAGCAAGTCTTTCTCTGTACTGCCAGCTCCCAAATAATGACACAGAGACTTATTATAATTATGAAAGCCCAGCCTATAGCTTAGGCTTGTCCCACTAGCTCTTGTAACTTAAATTAAGCCATTTATATTAATCTACATTTTTGCCTCCTGGCTTTTTAACCTCTCTTCCAACTTGTACCTCCTGTTTCTTCTCTGTGTCCTCTGGCATTTCCCCACTGCTAGATTCATTTCCTCTTCCTCTGCCTCTGCCCAGAAGTCCTGCCTAACCTCTTCCTGCCTAGCCTCTTCTGCTGGCCATTCAGCTCTATTAAATCAATCAGAAGGCACCTTGGCAAAGATACGTTTTCACAGTGTACAAAAAGATTATTCCACGACAGTAAAAGGATTTACTCAATGTGAGAAGAGGAACATAGATGTCCAAGTGACTCTCCCCAAGTCCATATTTGGGGTCCTAACATGAGATTTAGGTTTTAATAGAGGGCAAGAGGTATGCATACTAAGCAGTCCCAGTCAAGGTGTGGTCCCATCCATCACTGGCCCATCGTTGTCTTGGCTCCAATCTCTCCTGAGAGGTAGTCAGACAGGTAGTCAAAACTATGTGAAATATCTTAGACAAGTTCCTCCTCTTACTGGTACCAGGCTTCAGCCCTTTTTCTCCTCCCAGCTTAAGATTTCTGGGAAAATTCCAGTTCCTTGGGAAACATTGTTTCAGTAGACTGGATAACAAAGTGGGAGGCACAGTGTCTCTTTAGAATATCTTCATTGCTGCAAAGGTTACAGTGACATGGGAGTGGCAGATGAGGGGTGCTCTGGATTCAGCAGAAGACCTGTGGGTCCGAAGCAGGAGCTTCCTATCTGGACCGTGACCAGTCATCAGGGAGCCTGTTTAATGTCTCAAAGAGCTGTCACCTGTGGGTTCCTTTCAGTTAGCATCACATCTTAACAGAATTTATGAAACAAAAATGGATACAGGAAAATGGACTTATTTAAACTACCCAAACTGTGGAGAATAAGTCTCCTGTCTCTCTCTGTCCTTTAATACCTCTGTGTGATAATATTATAGAACAAAATGAAACAAAACCCAAGAAATATGCATATATTAACTGTGAGATAAGCTCTTAGAACCATGCAGTCTCTCCCAGGGAGGGAAGTTCCTTCTCTAATTGGCACTGGGGCTTAAGCCTTTTCTTTCCCCAGCATAGAATTCCTGGCAAAACATTAGTTCTTTGCAGCCTGTTATTTCAGTAGTCTGATAGCTGAAGGGTAAAAAGTCACAAATATCTCTTTTTAGAGTATCTCCTCTCTGAACTGGAGTCATTTTGGCCTGTAGTACCTTCTGGAAGCCCTGTAAAAAAATGTCTCATAGAGACAAAGTCAAAGGATGTGTCCTTTCTTCCCGTGACAAGGGCTGAGTTGAATTGGCAGTCTGCAAGGCAGCATAGTAGCCAGGGTCCTGGCAGCAGTTGAGAGAGCTGAGGTCCAGGTATTAGCAGAATTTTGCTCTCCCACACTGGTCAGTGGACAGAGGTGCCCCCACCAGCATAAGCAAGACATGTTTAAGGAGCAGCCAAGTTAAAACTGAAACACAGAGGTTGGGGTGTATCTCAGTGGCGGAGTGTGTGTGCCTACCCTGTGCAAGGCTTTGGGTTAACAATGCAAAGTAAAAGAATATAGAGGGTAAAGGCTTACAGTAGCTCAAAGGGGGAAGTAGGACGTTTGGGACCCTCAGAGATTCATGTTGATAGACGGAGACAGAGAAACAGCTTGAAAGGGAGTTGACTGTCCAATTGTGGGAGGGATGTTAACCCAGGAGGGGTTAAGATGGAATGCTACCGCTACCTCACTGGAGCTCACTAGCTGGGAAGTTGCAACAGCTCCAGGAGGAACCGTGTCTACTATCCCCTCTTTGAAGAGGAAATTCTCTATGGGACAATTTCCATCATGAAAAAAAAAAAAAAAAACGACATTTTGAAGAACATAATTGTTGAAGGTTAAAATTATGTTTCAATCATCCAAAGCCAGAAATAGACTGGTTTGGGGGATCAGTCTTCTCTGTTATGATTATATAAAAGACAAAATCTTGACACTAAGCCTTGGGGCTCACCTCATCAGTCAACCAGGGTGATAAAGCTTCATCACACCATTGTGTACAGATCCCGAGAGCCGGCCAGGAAAGCAGCAGGACAGCTGCTGTGGCTGGCACATACCAGTGGCAGCCGCATTCTTCATGGATCAGTGACAAAGGCCTCACCAGAAAACATAACTGGTATCGGTAGAAACACACATTAAACACCATAGCAAATGCCAAGGTCCTTGACATCACAGCACCGTAAATGAGAAAGGCCCACAAGATTGCTTTGAAAGAGGGAACAGAGAGGAAAGCACCCTGGCCTAAGAACGAGCAGCACTGAGCTCTCAGTCCCAGCTCCATTTCCATCTCCCAGGAAGCCTTCTGTTTGAACCTCAACGAGCCTCCTGGGATCCAGTGGCTCATGGGAAAATGAGCACTCAATCTCCATCACGGCTGAGGTCATACCTGACAATGAAAACACACCATTGTAAGGTATGTAGCATGTGACTCACTTGTTTCATAATACTTGTTTTAATTATTTATTGTTTTTTTAACGTGTAATATAGCAATTGGGTGTTAACAGTGAAAATACTTTATGATTTTAATTTAAGTGTGTTTTAGTGTGGAAGTTGGGCTGCATAGACTGAGAGGGATTAGCAAGCCAACACAATGGTGCCATTTTACCCAAATTAGAACCGAATGAGGAGGAGAGGGATGGCTATAGACTCCCTTATGAGTCAATCTTGTAGACCTAAAAATGAAGAAATGTAAACCATGGTCACAGTTTACATTTACATCTGTCATGTGTATTTCTTCAGGGAAGTATGGGTGGCAGCAGCAAGGGGCAATTAGACAGGCCTAAAATTATTAAATATATACTATGTGTCCAGAATACTGATGACCATTTACACACATCTCATTTATTCTACAAATGGACATACAAAACAAAATCTCCTTGCCAATATTATACAAAAGACATGCGATTTTAAGCCAAGCCTATAACTATTTAGTTTATTTTCTGGATTATTTTCTAAATTAGGAACACTTGTAAGTGGTGTTCCTCTTTTTTTTTTTTTTTTTTTTTTTTTTTTTTTTTTTTTTTGGTTTTTCGAGACAGGGTTTCTCTGTGTAGCTTTGCGCCTGTCCTGGAACTAACTTCGTAGCCCAGGCTGGCCTCGAACTCACAGAGATCCGCCTGGCTCTGCCTCCCGAGTGCTGGGATTAAAGGCGTGCGCCACCACCGCCCGGCCGGTGTTCCTCTTTTGATAATAAGAAGTATGAAGAAATTCCTGGGATAGTGGCATATGCCTGTACTCCCAGCACTTGGGAGGTAGAGGCAGGAAAATTTGGACTTCAAGGCCAGTCTCTGCTACATAGGGAGTCTGAAGATAGACAAGGTTACAAGAAGACATTGTCTCAAAATACCTAAGAGTATACGGAAAGCAATGGATGTGTGGCTACGTGCTACAGCACTTACAGAGTATGTTCAAGGCCCTGTTTCCATTTCTACTGTATATTAGAAATTATGTGCAGGTAAAAGGCAGCTGACGTGAATTACCCTTAGAATGGGATTTGCTAAGAGAGTGTGATTCGTAACCACGGGGCTATCTATGATCAGATCTTGAAGTCAGAGAGCATTAGAAGAGCACCAAACCACAGGTAGTCCAATGGGGCTGCAAAGGGAGAAAGAGCCTTCCCTGCTGATCCCAAAGAACAGCTCCAACAGCCAACATGATGAGGGCCTGAAGGAAAGAGCCTCGTATCCCTGAACAAAGTGGGTTTCTGGCTTCTGAGGGGTAGCAGAAAGTTACACATCATATGACAGCCTATGCCAGGAGACAGGCACTAGGTAGGACAATAGTTCAAAGCTTCCTTGGTCCTTGTGGTTGTCTGAATGTAACTGGCCCCCATACTCCCAAAGTGAGTGACACTGTTAGAAGGTGTGGCTTTATTGGAGGAAGTGTGTCACTGTGGAGGCAGGCTTTGAGGTGGTCTCTTTTGCTCAAACTTCCCTCAGTGTGACACTCAGATCACTTCCTGGTGCCTGCAAGATGTAGGACTCTCAGCTACTTCTCCAACACCATGTCTGCCTGCACACCACCATGTCCCACCATGATGATAATGGACTGAGTCTCTGAAACTGTAAGTGAGCTATCCCAATTAAACCTTTTACTTGTAAGAGTTGCCATAGTCATGGTACCTCTTCACAGCCATCGAAAACCCTAACTAAGACAGTCGTGATCAGCAAGTGGGGTTGGGGGAAGATGGGACTTGCTTCCCCCACTGCGGGAGTCACAGCAGCAGCAGGTACCTGTCAGTTCTTTATCCTAAGGGACAGACTGCAGGCTTGTATGACCTGATTTTTAGCAGGGAGTGTGTTTGTGATCTAACGCTACCCAGAAAAGATATAAATAAAGAACCTTTGAGACATGAGTCACTTTACAAAATGCACTGAGCAACTCTTTCCCTCTCCCCAACCCCTCCCCAGTCCCCTCTCCTTTTCCTTCTTTTCCATTTTCCTTTCTCTTTCCCTTTCTTCCTGCTTTCCATTTCCCCTTCCTCCTTTCCATCCCTTTGGTTTCCTTCCATTTTCCTTTCCTCCCTATTTTCCCCCTTTGACCCTTGCCCTTCCTTTCCTTTCCTCCTTCCCTCCCATTCTCTTCCCTTTCCTGTTAATGCTGGAGATCAAATCCAGAGACCCTTATGCTAAGTACACACAAACTAAGATTCCGTCTTCATTTCTTCTTCTCGTTGCTATAATAAAATACTCTGACGAAGGCAACTTAAGGAAGGAAGGGATTATTTTGGCTCACAGTTTTGGACCACAGTCCACCGCTGAGAGGAAGTGAAGACGGTAGGAACTTGAAGCATGATCCCCACGGTCAAGAGTAGAAAGCAATGAATTCACGCATGCTAATGTGTAGCTTGCTTTCTCCACTCTTACACAGTCCAAAATCCCCTACCTAGAGGATAGTGCCACCCACAGTGGGCAGGTCTTCTTACCTCAACTAATGTAATAAAAATAATCCCCCATAGACATAGCCACAGGCCAGTCTAATCTAGATAACCCATTATTAAAACTGTCTTTCCATGTAATTCTAGACTGTGTTGAGTTGACCAAGTAACACCAACCATCACAATCCCCACAATTAGGATATTTGATTATTATGTAATTATAGCAAATTTGGCCGGTATTCACCTGTAGCTATTTCTTATTGCTGTATTCGTAAATTTTCCGATTACAAAAATGTATAACTTGGGTCTTTCCTATGCACTGCAGCGGGATGTTTTTGCAGGGACACCATGTTGGCCTCTACAGTTATTGCTGCTGAAGTGATTATGATCTCTGAAGTAACTATTAAATTACCAAAGCAAGTGGGAAGATTTCATTCACATGGCGCAGCAAACCCAAGTTTGTATTGATTCGTTGACCACAGCGATTTCTTTCATAGAAATGGACTTGGAAGCCAAAGAGGTCATCTTTGGTTCCCTACAATGAGTCCAATAACTGTCAATGTTTTATACTGTCAATGTTTTATGAGAAGTTAGGGTTTCTTAACAGCTCTATTAACCTGTTGTGCAGCATATACAAATCTATACCTAGTTGATATTATCTCTTTATCACTAGTACTGTCACTTTGTGGGCTTTCATTTCTTTCTTTCTTTTTTTTTAAGATTTATTTATTTTGTATACAGTGTTCTGCCTGCATACCAGAAGAGGGCACCAGTTCTCATTACAGATGGTTGGGATCTACCATGTGGTTGCTGGGAATTGAACTCAGGACCTCTGTAAGAACAGCCAGTGCTCTTAACTGCTGAGCCATCTCTCCAGCCCGTGGGCTTTCATTTCATTCTTTGTTTTCTCTGTCTTACTCAACCAAGCTGGAAAACTGAGGTCAGTCAGTCATGGTCTTCACAACCACCACTCAGTGTGTGATTCACAAGCGTTCCTTCCCTTCCCGTCTTCCCTTCCCATCACTCCTTACTTGGATCAGGCACTTCACCCTTCTGGGCCATACTGATTCAGGAAAGTGGGGATACTTGAGTACAATGGAGGCTTTCTCTCCCACCTCAGATGAGCATAACTTGGGGTGCTGGGGTCCTAGATAAATCAACAGCCTCCAGGGCAATTCCAAGTCAGTGGCTTCTAGGTCTCTTACCTCATGACTTTTAAGAACAAATTTCATTGACAACAGGAGAGTGAGTTTAGAAAGGAGTTTTATAAGATGGTAGGTGGGAGCCGAAAAGAAAGAAGGCAGAGTTCCTGAATAGCAGGCAGAGGTCCCAAAGCAGAGTGCCATTGAAATTTTTATAGGACTTACAACAGAAACGGGGGTGCAGTATGCATTGGTTTGTCCAGGTGCCTCTCTATTTTGACCGTGTCCCTCACATACAGTTTCCAGACAGGGGTGCTCATTCAGGGGAAGAGCAGTAATAAACTCCCTTCAGGCATTCCTAGCTTCTGATAAGGACAGACCTGTTGACAAGGCCATTTCCAGCTTCTATCCAAGGATGAGTCCAAACTGTGTTCAGGGCCCCTGCCTGAACACCTATACTCATCAAAGTCAGCACCTGCCTGTGGGTGCTGGGACTCCATGCCTTCTTCATCAAGCTGTACTCCAGTCAAGTGATTCTAATTTCAACCCAAGACAGACCTGGCCTATGATCTTAAGCAGATACCTTCCACAGGTGCTTCTAACTACAGCAGGTTGTGGGGCTCATGGAGTCCTTCCCGCCTCATCATCCAGCTTACTCTCTGCTACAGTTAGGATGCTTTCTTATATGCTGAAGTCTTGGTTGACTAGAATATGAGCTACTGGGAAGTGCTGGAATCTTTAGTAAATGGAACCTATTGGGAGAGAAGTCACTGGTGACATGTCTCAGGAGATAACCTCGGGTCCTGGCCCCTCTTCTTTGTAACATGAATCCTAATTGGTCTCAATAAAAGCCCGGAGTCAAATGTCAGGGTGCAAGCTGAAAGATCAGAGAAACAGAGCAGCCAGCCACTAGTTCTTACCTCTACGAAATCCTCAGCCAAAAGGGGACCAAGCTCCTGTCTCCTCCTGCCTTATAATCCTCTCTCGGCCCAGCCATATCATTTCCTGTCTCCACCTCCCTAGTGCTGGAATTAAAGGTGTGTGTCACCACTGCCTGGCCTCTGTGGCTAACTAGGGGCTAAGCTCCACACTCTGATCTCCAGGCAAGCTTTATTTGTTAGATCACAAACGAAACATCACTATTCTTCTTGTTTTGCTTCCGGGCTGCCATGAGATAAGCAGCTTTGTGCCGTGGTATATGTGCTCCCTGTGAGGATATGCTGCCTCATGATCAGCCCCACAGCCACGGAACCTACAAACCATGGACCCAACCTCTGAAACAAACGTTCCTCTTAAGTTAATCCCCTCGGTTACAGACAGAAAGAGGACTAACATGACTGTAGCAAGAGTGAACTTGCATTTTTGCTGTGCACTGTACTGTTGACCATTTCTCCTCTCTAGACTTTGGTTCAAGTTGTTCCCCCAAACGACTTCCCAGTCACACCTTCTCCTGGCTCCTGGTCATTCTTCAAAGCAGCTGAGATATCACCTATTCAAAGAAATCCTACCTCTCTGCATGTAGGTCTCATGCACAGTCCTACTCTGGGGAAGGGTACAGTCCTGCTCCCATGACTCAGGGAGCAAAATTAGGAGTTTATTCACGTATCGCTGTAACCACCATTGCCATTATTTTATTTTATAGTCATTCTTACATGAATATTTCATCATTAATATTTTATTATTACATTTTTTGTCAGTGATTTAGTCTTTAAATTAACATTTCAGGTTAGCGTTCAAAGCACTGGGTTTTTGTCATGACACCTTCATGTGTGCCCTTATATTTTGTTCTCATTTGTTTCCCTCCCCACTGTTTCCCCTAAACTTGTGTGTCTCTTTAGAATATTAGCTCATTCTTTTAAAAAGTAGGACATAAAAAAGCTGACCTGAATGAAAATAATACAACAAGAGGTTTGACTAAATGATTCATAGATAGTACTGGGGCGGAGGTGTAGTTCAGTAATAGAGTACTTAACTACCATGGGCAAGGCCCTGGGTTTAATTTCCAGTCTGCATTCGAAAGGATGTCACATCACCCTAGCCACAAGACAAACGCAAATTACTGTCACTCTCTCTTATCTGTCTACAGATAAAACCCAACGTGAACAGCACATTCTGTGACCAGGTGATTGGAATAGCCAAAGAGGTATCCTCAGTAGCTGTGGGTGGAATTCAAAATGATACAGCCATCATGGGGCGGGGCAGGAAAGGTCTATCTGCCTTTCCCCTTAGACCAGCAATATCACTTCCAGAATCTAGCCTAAAGATGTTTGCAAAATAGCTGCAGATGTAGGCAGGAATTGTATTTTATAGTGCTGTGGAATAATCCTTTTGTACTGTGGAGATTTGTCACTTGGATTGGTTTAATAAAAAGCTAAATGGCCAATAGCTAGGCAGGATTTTTAGCACAGAGAAGACCCTGGGAAGAAGAAGGGTGGAGACAGGATCACCAGCCAGATGCAGAGGAAGCAGAAGATGAACATGCCATGCTGAAAAAAAGGTACCACCACATGGTAGAGCGTAGACAAGAATTATGGGTTAATTTAAGTTGTAAGAGCTAGTTAGTAACAAGCCTAAGCTATTGACTGAGCATTTATAATTAATAAGACATCTATGTGTGGTTATTTGGGAAGGGACTGATGAGACAGAAAACTTTGTCTACATTATAGCACTGTGTGTGTAACAAAAACAAAAAAAGGAATAGTTTGATCATTAATAATGTACTGGTGGAATGAATTATGGCAAATACATATATCTATAAAATGGGAACTGATTTTACCTAATGCTGTATAAAGGAGACTGATCTGCAGATGCCCTATGAATATGAAGTAAGATGAGAAAGTATGTTCAGCATATCACTGTTTCTTTAGATGGGAATGATTATAAATATGTCTCTGTATCCATATATATATATATGTATATATATGTAGATGTATGTATTTGTGGTTATAATTTTAGAAATGCTCCTGAAAAAGAAGAGATTATGGAATTAACATGTATAAATATAGAAGATTTTTTAAAAATAATCCTCATTTTAAGAATTTTACTTATGAACCATGTAAATATTTTCCTTTATAGAAATTTTAGGAAAATCCTTAAAACCTGAAATAAGCAACAAATGAACCTAAACATGTGTTGATGCTGTGAATAATCCCAAAGAGGAGAATTCCCTGCATCCTCCCCTCTGTTTCCTTCCCTTCAGCATTTCGGTGTGAGAGTCGCTAACACTAGATCTCATAAAACTGGCAATAGTCTTAGAGTCAATGCAGAAGCTACCTTCCCCATGATGGCTTAATGGAAGGTACCCAGGTGAAAGCCATGATCTTTTTATTTATTTATTTATTTGTTTGTTTGTTTGTTTGTTTGTTTGTTTATTTTTGTTTAAGTTAAACAATTTCTTCTTAAAAAATGACTTATTGTATGTGTCTGGGTGTTTAGTCTGCATGTAAGTCTGTGTGCTATGTGTATGCCTTGTGCCCAAGAGGTCAGAGAGGGCATCAGATCACCTGGGACTGGAGTTACTTGGGAGTGGCCACATGGGTGCTGGGAATTGAACCTGCGTCCTCTGGAACAGCAGCCAGTGCTCTTTACCTCCACGACATCTCACCAGGTCTGTAATTACTTCTCTTAATTTAGGTTTCTCCATCTTTTTCTCTTTGCAGCATTATTAGAACCACAAGTGAGCCATGGGTAGTAGTGCATCTGTAGTCCCAGTGACTTGGGAGGCTAAGGCAGAAGGATCCCTTGAATCCAGGAGTTCAAGGCCAGTCTGGGCAATACAGCAACAAAATACAGGGACACACCAAATAAGCTGGTTCCTGTAGTCCTCCCTTCAATCCCAGGTTCTTTGTTTGTTTGGTTTTCTTTAAGACAGGGTCTTGTGTACCTAAGCTAGCCTTGGAATGTCTATGTAGCCAAAGATGACCATGGACTTCTCATCCTCCTGCATCCACTTCCTGAATGCTGTAATGATAGATGTGTGCCACCACACATGGGTTTTAAGTCCCTGTCTGTCAGAACATGGCCTGAGAATGGAGTCCTGTAAGGAGAATTCTGAGTGCTTGTGAGAAAACAAAGAGTCTTGTAACCTCAGTTTCTTCAGAACACAGAATTGTTCTTGGAATGTGTTTTTGGGCTCCTCCCAGGTGTAACGGATAGGAATGAGTTTACTTCAGATTATTCTTAAAATCTGGCTATTGTTATTTGTTTATATGCCTCTATGGAAAAACATGTTGCCTAGTTGTTGCTTGTGATTGTGATGGTACACTTTACTCTGGTGACACCTCTTACCTCTCAGAGTATAAACTGTCTGATGCTCCGAATAAAGCTATTACATGAGACTTCAGTCCACCTCATTTATCTGCTCCATTTGCAGAGGTCCCACCGACTCTAGAACAATGACACCTGTCTTCTACTAAGAAATTTCCAGCTTGGATGCCTCAGACAATGGTTCTTTCAAGGACAGAGTATTTTCAAGAGAGATGTGTTGTAATGATCCAGGACCTTTAAACACAGTAATCAGGATGGAGTGGCCTCTGAGAAGATTCTGCAACAGTGAACCAGCACAGAAGAGTACAATGTGGGCCTGAGTCAAGGGAAAGGACAACACAGAGGGCCAGGGAAACAAGATTTAGCTCCAGTTGTCCACACTGGGAAAGGGAATCCGTACTGTTGGGAAGCACTGAGTAGTGAAATGGGAAGCACTCCCATGTGAACGTTCTGGTGCATGCCCGTCTGTGTAGTCCAGCTGTCTCAGGGCAGCCCCACTCTCTCTTTTCTGGAGAGTGTTTTTCAGATGTGTTTAACCAGGCTTTGCATCTCTCTCTCTTTCTCCCCCGCACACCCCCAATTTGTCCCTGTAGAACATTCTTCAGAAATGCTGAAGGACACCAGAGACAGAGCCCTCTGGGCTGTTCTAGGACTTCCTGGACAAGATTCTTCTGGTTAGATGTGGGCAGACAAGGAAGAACAGTGGTGGTGGGATGCAGCTCTCGGGTATACTCCAGTTCTGTCTGCTCTTAGACGCTGGAATACAGAGCCCTGGCCTGTATGCCAGGAACATCTGCTCCTCCTGTCATAAAGCATCCTTAGCAACCACCCAGCTAGGTCACAGATGGGGAGAACAGAGACCCCCCCATCCTTGATGCTTACTGGTGCACTCTGTTCTGAAGACATTCAGGCAGGAATTGCAGCTAAGGGGTTTAAACCTCAGCATCCTCAGCATGGCTGTATCATACCGGGAGCCGCTCTCTGAGATGGTGGGAAAGCGCATGGTCATCACAGGTGAGCAGAGCGTGGGTTCACTTTCTCAGTGATCGAAGCCATATTCATCCTCACATAAAGGGTTTGACAGTGAAATAATCACAGGACTGTTGTCTCATACACTGGGCCGGGCATGGACACCTCCTAGCTTCCAACAGGTCTTCATAGCCGCTGTCAGCCTACCAAAGCTAACTTTGACAACAGAAGGTCTCATTTGCATAAATTCATGATTAATGTAAGGCAAACTGCTTGATGTTTATAAAAAGTGTCTTGGTCACTACTAGTGATTCAGATTTCTTGCATCTTTTAAAACTGGACATATTTCATGGATAAGAATTTGAGCAAAATTAGGCTACTTTTCAATGCCTTAAAATTCTAAGCATTATTCTACTTTTTCTGTTGTGTTTTTTTTTTTTTTTTTGAGACAAAGTCTCACTATGTAGCCCTGGCTGGCCTGGAACTCCTTATACAGACCAGGCTGGCCTTGAACTCATAGAGATCCACCTTCTTCTGCCTCCTGAGTGCTGGGATCAAAGGTGTGTGCCACCACACTAAGGCAAATTTTTTTTTTTTTTAAAAGAAGATGTGTTTTAAACCTCATAAAATAGTTGGATTGTGTTTTATTCTTTCAGTGATTTGGGCAGTGTGTGTATGTGTTGTGTGTGTGTGTACAGTTACAATCAAATCTAAAAAAATAAAACATGACAAATAGGGTCAAGACCTTAGAACATGAAGCAAATTTCCATTTTATTTCCTTTATTTTATTTTTTTCAAATTACAAGCCTATCCAACAACCTTGCAGGAAACAGTTCGCTGCCGGTTTACTGTGAGCACTTGTGAGTCTATCATCTCTCTCATCTTATCATCTCTCTCATCCTATCATCTTTCTCATCCGCCTCCGTCTTGTAAGTCTTTTGGAACCGACAGAACCACCTTACACAGTCTAAGAGCTTGTGGAAAACAGTGTTTCCTCCGCTCCTGGCTTGCTTCACAATGGGTGGAGCACAGCGACCAGACTAAGCCAGTAGTGTGTCACCTCCCTCCACAGAACAGCTGGCTCAGGATGGGCACAAGACCCTCATACTGCCCAGGTAAATCCAGAAGTGACAGACCAAGCTGAGAGGCAGGGCCTGTGCCAATACACTCTTGACTGCCGTGGACGTGACTCTGAAGGAGCCAGGAATCCACATGGAGACTGGGGGCTTTAGCGCCTACATCAGAAGCACTGGGAAAGACGGGGTTGAGGAGTGGTTCTGGGCGTTCCCTCCTGCATCTGAGACCTCTCCTGCCGCTGAGTCTTTTTAATTAGTCCTTAGAAAAGGGTGGTGGTGGTAGTGGTGTCTGTGTTTTTACAGGAAATTTATGAACTACAGACATTTTCATATCCCTACCACGGCTTCCTCCATTATTAATAATAATAATAATAATAATAATAATAATAATAATAATAATTTGGGGGGGGTTCAAGACAGGGTTTCTCTGTGTAGTTTGGTGCCTGTCCTGGAACTCGCTCTGTAGACCACGCTGGCCTCGAACTCACAGAGATCTACCTGGCTCTGCCTCCCGAGTGCTGGGATTAAAGGTGTGCCCCACTGCGGCATGGTGGCTTCCTCAATTATTCTACTTTCTGATGCTGAGGGTTGAATCCAGGGCCCTGTGAATGCTAGGCACAGGCTTTTAACCTCAGGTCTCCTCAGGTAAGGACCTCTTGCTAGCAGGGTAACTTGTTACAGTTCATGGTCAACAACAATGCATTATTATTAGCTAAAATATTAGTTAAAATGTGCACTTTATTCAGATTTCCTAGTGTTACCTAATGTCCTTTTCTATTCCAGAAGTCTACCCCATGACTTTTAGCTGCCCCACCTCCCAGGAGCCAATGGGCTGTGACAATTTATGAATATCTTCCTGCTTTTAGACCTTGTCAGTTTTAAAGAGTACGTACAGCTCTCTCTCTCTCTCTCTCTCTCTCTCTCTCTCTCTCTCTCTCTCTGTGTGTGTGTGATGTAGGCTGTCTCTTAATTTGGATTTTCTTTGTGTTGAAATGATAGTATTTAGGAGGGAAATCAGAAGTAAGCTGACATTTACATCATGTTGTACAAATGAGCAAACTATCAACACGCCTTCTACTGTGGATACTGATCATAGCTACCCGGCTGAAGGGGAAGTTGGTAGGTGTCTCCATTGTGATGTCATTTTTTTCTCTCCTTCCACTACTGTGCAGCCTCTACTAGTCCTTGAGGCTGAAACATCTGCACGCACTATCTGAAACACCTCTGCATGAGAGAGTTGTCTTTTCTTCAACATCTTTTCACTTATTCATTCATGTATTATAAACTCATGAATATTCATCTTATTCTTTGGTTGGGCTGTGCTCCAATGCTAATCAATTGATTGTGTTGCAGGTTGCTCAAGCTTTAGCCATTGTGCTCTTCCTGCTGTCTGCTGCGCCCACCTTGGAGTACATCAGTGTGGATGTGGTTGGTTGACTTGTGTTAATTAAGCTTTCTGTCCCTCCTGGTCCACTCCTGGAACTGAGTGTTCTCTAAGGAGCCCTGGTTTCTTTTGTCAGGTGCCAGGCATGAGCATTGCTATTAGAGAGCAGTTTCTTTTAGACAATTTCAGCAGAACCAGGAAATACATGTGTATATGCTAACTTGCATAAGCATGGATCTATAGATAATCCTGTGCAAAGCCGACAATCTGTGTCTATATTGAGCTCAAGATAAGTGAGTGTGTTCGAGGCAGGCTCTCACTATATAGTCCAGGTGGGTCTTGAACTCACAATCCTGACTTGTTTGCTTTCTTGGAATCTATAACTGCTTCCCAGGGCTGTCTCTTACCCTGGGTTCATGGCTGGCTACATCCAGGGTCTTTGATTTGTGACTAGTCTCTGTTCTCAGATCCCCACGTCAGTTCAGTTTTAAACATTGTTCCCTTCCAACGTGGTGCCCAGCCAGTGCTCTCTGGGTTCTACAGAGGGACAAAACGGAACTCCTCCTCACTGACATCCACCCCCGAGGAGTCACGGTCTTAGCAAAACCTGCAATAGGGTTTGAGGCCCATGAGGGCTTGTGGGAAGAACTGCCAGTCTCTCTCCATCCGCTCACCTTTCTCATGAGGCTTCTGCCCGCCTCCCCTGCAGAGTGGTGGCAGGCGCGGAGGTGGGCTGGCTTGCTCCTGCTGCATCTCTCTTCTTCTCTGTCCCTCCCACTGTGCCGTCACTACCTTGTGAAGTTTTGAAGAGCTTCCTTTCGTTCTCTCTTTGTAATAAAGCCTCTGTTTTCCTTTAACGCCATTCCTATGGATTCTCTGAGAGTTTTAGACAATGCATTTTGAACACAATCACCCCGCCTGCAATTCTCTTCACCCTCTAATCTCCTCCCACCCAACTTTGGCATTTCTTCCCTTTTGTTTTCCTTTCCCCCACAGGTCAAGTTTGTGTTGCCCAGCTCGTTCTGGGAGTGGGTTCTGTCCTGGCATGTGCTTGACCTTCCAGGGGTCACTTAAAAAACAAAACCAAAAAATTAAGTCTCTCCCAGCACCTATAAAATGTCAATAGTCCTCAGCGAGTGGAGGGATTTCGCGGCCCCCTTCCTTCCTTTATGGTGGGTAATTGACGCAGAGACCCTTGCCTGGTCAATGTGAAGAGAATTAGAGAGTGTGGGGTGCTCAGGCCTGAAGGAAGCCTCTCTTTTCTTACCCTGACTCTTCTTCCCTGAGTCACATGGGGGCTGTTTCTAGTCCTCGAGATCAGTTTTAATCTTGGGTCTCATTGCAATCCTCTCCTCGTGGTCATACTGGCCTCTTCCTTTTGCTTATCTCTGAGTGTGAGAAATGTTTCCTCTCCACTGCCATTTGATTCAGGCCTAGGATGCAGAGTCAGTTATTCACCTGGAGTCCTGTGGGGAAAGCGTCACCAGCGGAGGGTGGTTCGTCCAGCCCTTGCAGCTCCTTGAGGATCTGACTTGCAAACTCCCCTCACTTCCAGCTGCTGAAGTCAGCGCCTCTTATTCTGCAGCCCCTTTTCTGAAGTTTTTCCTGCATCTGCATTCCAGGGTTTTGATGCTTTGGTTTTGTCGCTGTCTGAATACTACCTAGGATCTTCCTTCTCACACTTTTTATCGTTATATATTAAATTGTCCCTCTGTGTTATAAATTCTAGGGGTTTTTGACAAACTCTTAAGAATACAGCCACAGCACAGAATCACACAGAATGGTTTCGACTCTCTAAAAAAAATCCCCCTGCCTCACTTACTCATCTCTTGTCTTCTGCCCTTATATTCCTGGCAACTATTGTTATTTTCACTCTATAGTTTTGCTACTAAGTCAGAGTTAGGTAGGAGGATCTCCTTACCCCATGGGTTTGAGACCACTCTGTCCATTTATATAGCTAATGGACAAAATACAAGACCCTGCCTGAAAACGAAACAAAATGTAAAATAGCAAGCAAACAACAGCACCCAGAAGCATGTATCATAGACTTGCCCACTCTGTGATGTCCCAGAGCTGGACTCACACATGTGTTGTTAGATCCATGTCTTTCTTTTATTACATGAATGAAGGGGCTTTCACAGTATGATGGATTTTTTTTTTTTTATTGCTGAATAATATTACATGGCATGGTGTGATGGCTATTCTTGGTTGTCAACTAGACCGTATCTGGAATGAACTACAGTCCGGAAATGAAGGGCACATGGTGTTCTGAATCTTGAGGCAGGAAGACAACAGGTCTTTGATCCTGTTCTTGAGGTGGGATGACACAGGCCTTTAATCCAGATCTAGAGGCAGAAGGCACACCTCTAATCTGGGCCACACCGTCTGTCTGCTGGAATCCTGTATAAGGACAATGGAAGAAGGAAGGGTTCGTTCATTCTTTGTCTGCTCGCCTCCACTTTGTCAGCACATCCGGTCCTTCACTGGCATTGAAGCCTGCTTCTTCCGGATTCCAGTGTATACAGAAGACCAGCTGAGACACGCAGCCTCATGGTACTGAGCAACTGCTAGATTCTTGAACTCTC